TTGTGTCAGACGTGGAACCTCTTGAAGCTGAGCGCAGAGATCTATCTGAAGAGTCTGAACAGCGCTAACATAATGGACACGCCGTGGGCTTTGCATCCGTTCGGCAAAAAGATGGTCCAATCGCTGTGAGTGATGACCGCACGGGTTGGCACACATTCATACGTGTTGTTTGTCCGGATGACCATTGATTTTGTCAGTAATTTTAATTGATATTTCGTTTTTATTGATAGCATTGATCACTCGGTTCTCAAATGCAATGACATTCAGACGGCGGCAATGATTGCCTGCACTTTCCATACGACTGATACCAAATCAAAGTTACCGCCGAAACAATCGCAGCCCGGAATCGCCAATAATTCGGTTAATATTTGTTAATAATTTTCTTAAGACATATATTTTTGTCTCACTATTTGTGAAGTCTGTCCATAGACTATGTGTTTTGCTTTCAAACACTTGAAGCCTATTTATTGTGTCATATTTAACATGTATTCAAAGTAATCGCTATTTTTCTAATCTCTTCTCTTTTCAATATCTCTGTATTTCATAATCACATCATTTCTATAGCTTTACGTTTCCTTAAGACTATTGAAGGTATGGAATAGTTTACAAATACCGGTAAATGATATACTGTTTGACATGTATTTGTTGTGACATTAGATTTGGTTATGTTTTTTCGGTTCACAAACCCATTCCTAACTTTTGGTTTATTATTATTTTTTCCTTATTTTTAATTATTTAGTAATTTTAAACAATTTTTGATGCAATTATTAATTGATATGTGTTTCCCACTGGCAAACAGCCGGGAAGTTCTCCCTATCATACCGTCTGTTCCACAATACAGGCGCCAAATACTCCCGAAACGTACGGCGATTGGAGTCTAAGTAATGGATAAAAATTAATTTTAAACATTAATACATTATTTAATTGTTCGTTACTTTCTATGGTTTAGTCTCAGCGGTGGAGAGTCTGAAGAGGACGCGGTCTAACAGTTGGTCCGATTTTGCCGAAAACGAGGCCCTCATCTCGGGTCTGGTCAACAGCGCTAACAACAATCATAACGACAACTTTGCCCAACAGTTAGAGCTCGAGGCCC